TGTTTATCCTCCTTCGACCTCGATCCCCCTGGTCAATTAATCTCCTCCCCCTTCGAGTCGGCCTGCCTCTTCGCCAATTGCTTGTTATTGCTGACTGTCGTTTGGTAGCAACTTCTCGAAGTGAGCTGATCCCCAGCAATCTCTCCTACGTTTTCGCCCACCGGATATTTGATCGTCATGTGGTACGTGGATACGACCGCCTGGAATGCATTCAAGCTCGTCCGCCCCATGATGATGTTATAGGACGACTCAACCCCTACAATCACAAAGCTCACAATGCGCACCTTCCTCAACTCTCCCGATCCCAATGCCACGGGAAAACTGACCTCTCCCATCGGCATAACTTCTCCCCAATTAAAACCGTAGAGTGCCGTGGTCACCGGTTTCAGCTCCATATTCAGCTCTTTGTTAATCTGCACGAAGCAGTCATAGAACATCACATCTACCGAACTCCCGGCATCAATGAACACCCTCTTCACATCGAAGCCTGCGACCTCCGCGGTTATCACCAAAGCATCATTGTGCGGCAGGACCACTCCCTCGGCATCCTCCGCCTTAAAACTTATCACCGGCATGCGGGCCATAATTCCCACCTCCTCTCTCTTCCTCTTCACCGCTCGAGCATGTTCCTTCCTCGCCCTATTCGAGTCACCATCAGTTGGCCCATCGGAAATCATGTAAATAGTTCCTCTCTTCATTGGGGCCTCTCCTCCATGTCCTCCCTTATCACCATCTTTCCTTAGCTTCTTTCCTCGACCGTCTCGACCATCTCCCTCCTCATCTCTATCGCTCCTTTCCTCCGAGTCTTCCCTACACCTTCTCCTTCCTTTCCCCTTCACCCTATCATGATACACAAATTCTTTCAAATATCCTGCTCGAATCAGCCTCTCTCTCATCTTTCAAATGTCTGCAATTCTCCGTGGTGTGACCATAATCTCGGTGAAAGCGGCAGTAAATATCCGACCTAGGTCGGATTGGGCCTGTAAACCTCGTCTTCGGCCAAGTCACATCCTCACTCGACATCTTCTGCTCCATGGCCTCGAGAACCTCCGTCATGTCTTTCCTCAAGGGCGTGAATGTGTGGTATCTCTGTCTCTCAAACAACATTGGCCTCCTCTGCCATTCATCCCTCTTCTCCCTTTTCGAATCTCGACTCTCTCTTCGGGGCGACGCCCTTTTCTGCCCACCCCGCTTGGGCGAATTCCTCCTCGGCGATCTCCCCCTCTGCGGAATTTTCTCCTTTTTTGACTCTGTTCGAGCCACTCCCTCCAACTTGGCAAACTCCATCTCCATTTCCTTCAAGTTAATATACTTCCTGCACCGCTTCAGCACATCCTCATATGATCGAGCAGGGGTTTTTGCTAGGGAAGTTCGACAAGGCCCTGATCGAAGACTCCTTATCAATCCACCCGCCTTTACTTCGTCCGAAGCCGAGTGCACCTCCAAGCATGTTTGGTTATATCGAGCAACATACTTCCTTAATGATTCCTTCTCCCCCTGCCTCATCGCCATCAAAGTCAAATATGTTTTCTCCTGCACCACCGCGCTCGAATATTCATTGATAAGCTTGCCAGTAAAGTCCTCAAAGCTTGCGATCGACCCAGGTGGAAGTTGATGAAACCAATCAAGTGCTCCTCTACGCAAAGTCGATAAAAATGCCCTGCAACAAACAGAATAAGAGTACCCATGCAGCACAGCCATATTTTCAAAGGTCCTCACATGCCTCGATGGGTCAGATGACCCGTCATACACCAAGTTGGTCTCCTTGAAATTGTTTGGCAACGGAGCAGCGAGAACCTCCCTTGAAAAGGGATGTCCTCGAGCTCTCCTCTCCGGCCTCCCCTCCACTTTATCTTGCAGTTGGCGCAACTGCTCCGCCATCCTCTCCATCGCCTGATCTCTTCCCGCTCCTTCTTCTCTATAACTAGACACATCCTCATCCTGGCTACCGGCCACCGCGGTCGGCGCAGTGGTGGCATGAGAAGTATGACTCGCAACTTGCTGCACTGCCTGCGCCGCCGCGGCCGCCGCTATCCTTTGCATCTCCTCCCGGGTCATTGCCACCATTTGTTGGCCAGGGGTTTGTACGGCTGCCTGTGGTGGCACTCCTCCCTGCCGTTGCGTTGGATCTGGTGGTGGTGGTGGTGGCATAGCCGCTGCCGCTGCTACACGAGCCTCTTGGGCCTGACTGGAGCTGGCATCTCCGCCGGGAATCACCGTCGTCGCTCCTACACCTTGGAAGTTAGGTGCGGGAGTGACCGGAGTCTGCGATGGGCCAGAGAAACCCGGAGGAGGGCCGTGACCCAATGGCCTGGTCGTCGTCCAAGCTTTGTCGAACGTCGACTGCAAGTTTTTAGGAATTCCGTCCGCCATAGCTGAGCTTCAAACACAACTTTTTGAACAAAGAATCCCTACAGACGGCGCCAATAATGCAAGTGTAAGCGTCCTGGTCCGGTTTGAACGGATAGATCTTGGTCCTCGCTGGTAGAACGCCGGAAACCTGCAAATAACTCTCACACCGGGGGTTGTGTCCGGTGAAGAGCCTCTGATGCTTAAGTCAGTATGTGTATGAGTGTACTGGAATTGAGAGAATGAATAGAATGTGTTTGGGAAGAAAGGCTCACCCCCTTTATATAGGGGTGAGATACCTGCCCTAAG